GCGGCGGGGGAGGGAGGGGGGGGAGTCGGTGGGGGGGGGAGTCGGTGGGGGGGAGTCGGTGGGGGGGAGACAGCCGCGCGGCGCGGGAGACGAGGCTGCCTGGCGGAGCGCCAAGTCCAGAGGAAAGCGAAACCCGGATAGGCGCGGAGACACACACACACGCGGGCTGACACACACACACACGCGGGCTGACACACACACACACACGCGGGCTGACACACACACACGCGGGCTGACACACACACACACGCGGGCTGACACACACACACACGGGCTGACACACACACACGCGGGCTGACACACACACACGCGGGCTGACACACACACACACGCGGGCTGACACACACACACACACAGGCTGACACACACACACGCGGGCTGACACACACACACACGCGGGCTGACACACACACACACGCGGGCTGACACACACACACACAGGCTGACACATACACACGGGCTGACACACACACGGGCTGACACACACACACACGGGCTGACACACACACACGCACACGCGGGCAGACACAAACACACGCGGGCTGACACACACACACACGGGCTGACACACACACACGCGCGCGCACGCACACACACACGGGCTGACACACACGCGCACACACATAAAGGGGCTGACATACACATGGATTAACGCACAGAGGCTGGCACACATAGATCCAAGGATAAAGATTCCCCGTATAGCGTTACCAGACTGTTATGGGTAAGTGTTGTTAGGGAGCACCTACGAAGGTCGGCACGGCGTACGAAGGGGTGGATGGCCAGCATCACGCTCGACCGCCTTTGTCTCCCTAGTGGCGATCTTTTTATCACCGCACCAGGTATTCATTTGAGTGGACCTCGGGGAGGCCCAGGACCGGTTCAGATCATCATCACTGGTGTTGGCCGTGAGCGAGAATCGAGCTCCCCAACACATCGAGATCCACACACACACACGGGTCAGCAAAGAGATAGACACACGCATAGGCACGGACACAAAGACGCAGACATCGACTGGCATACATATCGACTGGCACACGTGGACCTACACAAAGATAATCACACAGACACACGGACCCACTCACAGGTAGGCTGACAGACACATAGACCTGACCACACACATCGGCACCGCCCATAAACAACATACACGGAAAGACCTGTCCACATTTAGACACACGGAGGTACGAGAATAAGATCACCCGTATAGCCTTAACAGACTGTAGGGGCAAGTGCTGTTAGCGAGCACCTATGAAGGCCGGAACGCTACACGAGGGGGTGGCCAGCACCACGCCCGACCGCCTTTGTCTCCCCAGTGGCCATGTTTATACACTACGTACTCAATTGAAGCTGAGTCGACCTAGGGGAGGCCCAGGACTAGTTCAGATAATTGTCACTGATGGACTGTAGGGGCAAGTGCTGTTAGCGAGCACCTATGAAGGCCGGAACGCTACACGAGGGGGTGGCCAGCACCACGCCCGACCGCCTTTGTCTCCCCAGTGGCCATGTTTATACACTACGTACTCAATTGAAGCTGAGTCGACCTAGGGGAGGCCCAGGACTAGTTCAGATAATTGTCACTGATGTTGGGAATCGAACTCGGGTGGCCAGGTTCGTAGCGCTGTGCGGCAACCGCTGCGCCACCGACCCACACGTAGACACACGCACGTAGACACACGCACATAGACACACGCACGTAGACACACGCACATAGACACACGCACGTAGACACACGCACATAGACACACGCACGTAGACACACGCACGTAGACACACGCACGTATACACACGCACGTAGACACACGCACATGACCTAACACACACGTAGACACACACAATAAAGATTCCTCGAGTACGTACACATGTTCATAGACTAACACATACTTCGACACAAATAGACACAAAATCATAGACACAAGGAGGAAGAGAGACACATGCAGACACGCGTAGACGCACACATGTACCCCCACTTAGATTAACACACACAAAGACAAACAGACATTATCACGCGCACAAACACATTGACGGACGCATCGAAAGACAGACCGATACACACTCCGACACGCCACGCAAACAGAAACACAAAGACACAGACGTACAAAGACAAACACCGACACACATCGACGCACAAAGACACATCGGTACGCCACAAACAACAAAGCCGCGCACGCACCGACACGACACACACAGACACACGCAGACACACACAGACACACGCACGCACAAGCAGACAGATCCACGTCGCGAGTGCAGGCGAGTATGGGAGAGAGGGGAAGGTGGATGGGGTGGGGGTGGTGGTGGGGTAGAGGGGGGGGCGTGCGGGGGGGGGTAGCCGTGGGGGGGGGGGAGATCGCCAGGAGTAACGCGGGCGCGATGGAACCGCGAGTGCGCGGGAGCTTTTAGCGTCGCTGCGTTTTTTTCGAGCGAAGCAATTAAAGCGCTCTTTGTGCGGCCGGGGGGAGGTGGAGTGGGGGGGGGAATGTGGGGGAGCTGGTGGGGAGGGGAGAGGGGGGGCGAGGGGGTGACGGAACGAGCTCTCAATCGGACACTGTGTGCGTTCAGTGGCCCACGGGGCTGCCTGCTCATTGCGTCTCGGAAGCGGCGCTCTGTAGAATGTCTGCGAGGTGCCGTGCCCGCTGCTCCAACACAGGGCATGCGGGTTGTCCACTGCTGGATGAAAGCATCGTGGTTGCGCACCATGGTCTACCCACTGCCGGATGAAGGAAGGCAACCTCCATCATCGTCATCATCATCATGAGGCATTGTCTTATCCGCTTCTGGATTAAAACATTATAAAATACACACGTGGAGACATACAGCTGTGTGTGTCAATCCAAGAGTGCACGAATACCTCCCCGCATCCGTTGCGGGTTGTAGAAGTTACATGACCATACTTCACCACGCTGGTCATATATTTTACTGCAATCGCCCTATGCTGATAGTGCCGGTGACCCATGGATTGCCCTCACGGAGTCTCAATACTCTTGTTCAGGAGGGTCCTGCCGCTACATTGGGATGTTTGCCCAATTGCCTTTTAAATTAATTAGAGTTTTTGCTTCGTGGGAGGAATAACGCTCAAAGATGATCACGTGCTGTCGTGCCACCTCGGAACTTGCGGGGGGGGGGGGGTGTAAGTTATTTAAATCTACGGGTGGTCCACTAACCCTTCCCTTCAAGTCACCGTCACAGCCATGCGGCACTCACGCCTGCCTACCACCGACATTAGACACTCGCTTGTTAGGAACTGCGTCTTGCTCTTCAGCTCTATTGTCCTTGCCCAGCACCTCCGATTACCACGGTTGTCTTCGTATGGTGCGAAAGAAGTTCAGCATACATACACCACACAAACGTAGACGTTTTGGGCAATGGCACCTTGTTGAGAGCAGATAAGAAAGCAGGAATATGGAATATGATACTTTTTTTTTTACCCAGCTACAGATGTCGACTCTAATCATAATCATCATCACTCCTCCGCGTAAACGCCGCCCTCTCCGCCTCGTCTCCTCCGACTTAAAAAAATACGGAACCATATTTTTTAACCAGGTAAAGCCCACTGAGCTATGTAGTTCTTTCTTTTTAGAAGCGACATTGCCACACATGATAGGTCAACGAAGTGGCTTATCACGTGGACATTTATAGTAGCCAAATACTCCAAACGCATCTCTCTAAACGTGGAGGGAAAAACCGGAGGACCCCGAGAAAAATCTACGCGACCACTTGGGATAATATGCAAACTCAAAATATCCAGACGTGAGGGTCGGGATCGAACCCACGACCTGCTGTATACCAGGCGAGGTGGGTTTCATCTCCCAGCCACCGTGGCGCCCCTCCGCGTTTCGCGGAACGCATCCTCGCATCTCATCTGCAGCCCCGCACAGAGCCCGGCGCACAGACCCGGGAGACGGCACAGCGCAACCTAGCCGCTGCTTCCGAACGTAAACGTACTCATTCCCGCCACGCCTAACGTTTCGGGCAATGAGCCTTTGATGGACACAGGTAGATTTCCGTTAGTTTAACTGGCCAGGTGGCTCATCTGAACAGCGAGATGCTTGCGACTAAAATATTACGAGTTCAACCCTGAATGGGAGGCGGTAGGGAGTGGGATTGACTCAGCCTATCATCCCTTCCGGGTATATAAAATATGTACCACTTTGTGGTTGTTCTTTGGATATACTAGCATCTCCCACACCCCCTCTTCCCCGCCTCGTCATGGGAACATGGAATTTCCACCACCTCCGAGTTGTAAACATGAGATGAGCACCACGTGAATTTTTGTTTCGACGAAAAATCACGGAGCTTTGTTCATTAATTTGTTTTTGAACCCAGGGTGACACCTCAAAGAGTCCTGACGCCTCTCGTGCAAGGGAGACCTGGGCCCGGTTCCTTCGTAGCGCGTGGAACTTGATAGAGGAGATATCTTCTCGAAACAAACCAAAAAATTATGTTAGAAAAAACGAAACGAAACTGGAAAGCATCCTTGCGTTTAAGACGTCTCTCCCCACTCCCCCTCCCCTCTCTCTGTACAATGCGTGGCCGCGTCCCTCGTCTGTGCGTCCAACCTCCCTGGTCCCCGGCCTCCTGGCCTCGCGAGAGGCGGGTGGTAGGCCGTCCTCTCCTGCGGGGTGCCTCGCCGCCCTTCCACGCACCGAAAATAAAACATTCTCTCTCGCTCTCTCTCTCGCTCTCTCTCTCGCTCTCTCGCTGGCGCGGCAGCGGCGGCGCGGCGCGTCCTTTCAGGGCTTTGCTGACGGTTGAGCGCCTTCGAAACCACAGCGCCCAGCCGCGACGCACCCCCTGCCCACACCACCCCCCAACCCCGTTCCCCCCATCCCCCCGCGAGCCTCTCCTCCCCCCACGCCGCCACCTCCCATCCTCCCACCCTCGCTCCTTCCCCCCCCACCCACCCACCCCGCTACCCCCAACCCCCACCACCCGCTTGGGACGCCGCCGCTCGCGAGAGGGAAGGAGCGCGCGCGGGCGAGAGTCACTCACAACGCGCACGCGGGCCAGACGGACAGTCAGAGCGGAGAGAGCGAGCGGAGAGAGCGAGCGGAGAGAGCGAGCAGCGAGCGAGAGAGAAGAGAGTGGAGAGATCGCACGAAGCGGCAAGCAGTAGCGGCAGCAGTGATCTCAGCGCAGTAGCTGCGGCCGTAGCAGCAGCAGCAGCAGTGAGAACCAGTAGCGGGCATTAGTTGAGTGTGGACGCGAACACAGCGGCGTGGGTTCGGCCGGCCACTTGGAGGCGGCTTCCCCTTTCAGCGCCGCGGCGACCTCAAGACCGCGCACGGCCCCGCCACCCCCGCCCCCCCACGCCCGGGCCCCTCCCCCCGCGCATCACGCCGAGAAAAGCGCGTCCCCTCCTCCTCCTCCTCCCTGCTCACCCTCCTCACCTCGGCTTCAGCGGCGACACACGCACTCACCCTGCCCGCCCCGCGGGCCAGACACAGCGAGCGAGCGGACGGAGCGCATCTATCCCCGACTGCACTCGGCAGAATTTTTTTGTCTCTCCTCTCTCAGTTATAACAACAACAAACCCAACAACAACAACAACTCGAAGTCACACCCCCCACGCCGCCGCGCTTCGCGTTTCTGAAATCTTCCGACGACGCCACCAACCAACGACGTCGGCCACGAACGAGAGACGTCACGAGAGTCGGGAAGAGACACACGAGGAGCCCCGACAGGAGCCATCCCCACGCCTCCCACGGTGAGTTCCTCTCGGCGTGTTTTGTTTCTCGAGGTCGGGGGGAGCCTGGTCGCTACCTGTCTCGCTCCTTTTCGGTGCCGCTCTGCCAGGGAAAAAATGTTCCGTCTCGCTCAGTCAGTCGCTGAGTCAGTCGCTGAGTCAGTCGCTCAGTCGCGACGCGGGGACGCGCGGGGGGGGGAGGCGAGTCTCGGCGAGATGCGGATTAGGGGACTCAGATCAAAGTTACGTCGAGAGCTGCGTGGGAGCACGTGGGCGGCGGCGGGAGTGGAACCCCCCTCGAGTTCCGCGGCGAAGCCAAGCGGGGAGGATAGGGAACACCACACACACACGCGGACACACACACACACGCGGAGACATACATATACACACACACGCGGAGACATACATACACACGCGGAGACATACATATACACACACACAGGCACGGGTGGTACGTACGGAAGTTGAGCCACGCTCGCACACACATACTCATAACACATGCGCGCCGCTGGGATGCAACACGTAAACAAATGCACACGCAGCAGTATCGCACGCAGCAGTATCGCACGCAGCGCATCGAAGCACACAGCGCACGCACGACGCGGGCATAGAGACGCGTTGTAGAGGCGGACTGTCACGCACGGATCAATACAGAAGCACACGCGCGTATACACTCGCACACAGACGCACAAACACAACTATGCACACACTCACACATACAGAAATACAGACATACACTGAGAACACATTGACGCACTGAAACTCAGACACCCGCATGTATGTATTGACACAACCACACACACTCGGGTTCACGCGCATATACAAATACAGCGATCTCACCGTATCGACAGAGAGACCATTGTAGGAGCGCGGGCGGTTAGCGAGCACATATTAAGGCTCACATACCCACACAAGCACACACACACACGCGCCTCCATAAAATACACACGGGTCTTTCTATGCAGTGTTCAACTTGACGCACTCGTACAGTCGTTGACACACATCCGCACTGACACTCCCAGACACACAGCTACACACACACACTCACACACACTCAGACACACACACTCGAGCACACAGATCCCTCTTTCCGCCCTCGCCGCGCGTTCTGGATGAGCGCGTGGTCGGGGTCGCGCGCACCTGCGGGGGACGGAGGCGTGGAGGACGAGAGGGGGGGGGGTCTGGCGTTCGCTAAAACCAGAGACGGAGTGGAGTTAGCGGCGGGGAGGCGACACGGGGGGAGGCAGGAAGCGAGCGGGCGAGTGGCGGGCGAGTGGTGGCGTCGCTAGAAAGGGGTCCTTGTGTGGAGGTCTCGCGGTACCCTTCACAGAACTTCTCCGCAAGTGACACACACACATCTGCCTGTAAACATTGACACACAATACAAAGATCCCCCCCCCCTTGTTTATCTGTAACAGACTGTTGGGGCAAGTACAATGAGCACCTCTGAATGATGCCGGTGTATAAGGTGGTGGATGGTCAGCACCATGCTCGGCCGCCTTTGTCTCCCCAGTGCTGATTATGTATTACACACCCGCACCGGGTACTCATGTAAGCATGAATCGATGTCCGGGATGCCTAGGACCGGTTCACATAATCGCCGTCGCTGTAATGTGGCCGTGAGTGGAAATCGAACTCGGGTCGCCGGGTTCGTATCGCAGTGCGCGAACCACTTCGCCATCGCTCCCCGCCACTCACACAACACAGAGAACGTAAACAAACGCGCGTGCGTGTACACATGTTATCAAGCTGCCTGATATCATGTTTCAGTGTGCACACACACGGACACACACGGACACACACACACACATTCCGCCACACGCACACACGAAATTACGCGTCGATGTCACAGATTCCAAACTCCTCGCGGGTGCTGATAATGGGTTTGCGATTAAGTCTGATAACATCCGTTTGATGTGACGCGCGGGAGGTGTGTGTCTGCGTGTGTGCGTGTCTGCTGCATGTGTGCGTGTGTGTGCGTGTGTGTGCGTGTCTGCTGCGTGTGTGTGCGTGTCTGCTGCGTGTGCGTGTGTGCGTGTGTGCTTGTCTGCTGCATGTGTGCGTGTGTGTGTGTGCGTGTCTGCTGCGTGTGTGTGTGTGCGTGTGTGCTGCGTGTGTGTGTGTGCGTGTCTGCTGCGTGTGTGTGCGTGTCTGCTGCGTGTGTGTGTGTGCGTGTGTGCTGCGTGTGTGCCGAGCTGGCGGTGCGCGCTGAGAGTGCGTTGTGCCTCTGGAGATGAAAGCGAGGTCAGACAGAGACAAGCAGCGAGACTCGCCGAATCGAGCGCCCGTCGAGTTTATGGCGGGTAGGGGCGGGGGGTGGGGGCAGAGTGCGGCGGGGTGAGAGACAGGCGGGCGGGGGCGCGAGAGAGGGTACACAGTGCGTGCGAGAGGCGGCCAGGGGTGATGCGTGCGCGTGTGTCAAGGGGTAGTAGTCGGGAGGGAACGTGTGGGTGACAATGGTCCCTGCTGTTTGACGCGGTGCGCGTGAGAGAGTGCGTGCGTGATCGTGAGTGCGTGCGTGGAGTAAGGGCGCGTGTCGAGAGAGTTCGCGCGTGAGTGGCACGGAGTGCGCGCGTGTGTGCGTGCATGCGAGAGGGTGAGCGCGTGAGTGTGTGAGTGGCACGGAGTGCGCGCGTGTGTGCGTGCATGCGAGAGGGTGAGCGCGTGAGTAGCACGGAGTGCGCGCGTGTGTGCGTGCATGCGAGAGGGTGAGCGCGTGACAGTGGAGTTCGTGTCGAGATTGCGTGCGTGACAGGGTGCGTGACAGGGGTGCGTGTGTGACAGGGATGTGTGACAGGGGTGCGTGTGTGACAGGCGTGCGTGACAGGGGTGCGTGCGTGTGTGACAGACGTGCGTGCGTGACAGAGGTGCGTGCGTGTGTGACAGGGGTGCGTGACAGGGGTGCGTGTGTGACAGGCGTGCGTGCGAGGAGTGCGTGGCTAAGAGGGAGCGGGGCGGTTAGGCCGCAGCCGTCGCGCCCGCGTGTTCATTAAAGCAGATTAGTCGCGCCGCGCGGCGAAACGAAAAACCCGCGTTGGCCTCAGGGGGGGGGGGGGGGGTTGGCGGTGGGAGGGGGGAGGGCGCGGGGGGTCGTGCCGGGGAGGGAGGGAAGTGGAGGGGTGGGAGCGAGCGAGCTGCGTGTGGCAGCAGCAGCAGCAGCCTCGCTGCTGCTGCTGCTGCCGCCGCCGTGAGACGGAGCGAATTAAAGCCGCGCCGCGCCTGGGGTCACCGCGGCAGAGCGGGGCGAGGACGGCGAGCTGCGTGGGAGGGATGCGGGGGGGGGGCTAAGGGGGAGGGGAGGGGGCAGCTCCTCCGCTTCCCCCTCCCTCCAACGCTCCTCGCTCGGCGGCTCCGCTCTTTATTCTTCGCGCTCGGCTGGGGGGCTCGAGTCTGCGGGAGCGCCCGATGTAAGGGCGGCCAGCTACCCACATCCCCGCCTCTCTCCCTTCTCCTCTCCCTTCCTCGCCTCCCCCCGTGCCGAGCTCGCCTTTTGGTCCAAAAATCCGCCGATGAGGACGCCCCCCCCCTCAAGCCCCCACCTCCCCCCCCTCGTGTTCGCTGACGACGCGTGTGGACACTGAATTCTTATTCACAGCTCAACAAAACTCACTCGGATGTTGGGGGGGGGAGTGAGGGGAGGGGGCCTAAATACTCCAAATAATGCACACGAGGCCACCCCGCACACGGCGCTTCCCTGTGTGTGTGTGTGCAGTGTGTGCAGTGTGTGTGTGTGCAGTGTGTGTGTGTATGTGTGTGTGCAGTGTGTTTGTGGACCCCCCTGGTGGAGCATCTTCGCCGGTTGGAAACATTTAGGCTGGCCTGCCTACGATCCATCCTGGGTTTAACCAGGCTGGATTGTGTGAGGAGCTCACAAATCCTTGAAAGATCTGGGCAAAGTCCCATCAGTGAGCTCCTCCGGCAGGCAAGGCTGCGTTGGCTGGGTCATGTAGCCCGCATGCCCAGCCACCGCATGCCTAAACAGCTTTTGTTCGGCCGGATCGAGGGGGCTAGACGGGCGCGGCACGGGCTGGAGAAGAGATGGAGTGATGTGGTACAGGAGGACGTGGAGCTGAGTGGACTTGCCGATGACTGGTACCAGCGGTGTCAAGATCGGCCTCAGTGGAGGAGGCTCGTGAAGGACGCTACTGGGCAGTTGGAGGCAGTCGCCCTCCAACAACAACGGAGGGCGGAGGAGCGACGCTCACAACAACGAGCGGAGCGCCGGGTAGCTAAAGCACAGCAAGTTGGCACAGTAGGGGGCACAGGTGGTGCATCAGCCAGTCATCTCGGTCATCTCGGTCAGTCGACCAGTGGCACCTGGGTCTGCCCCGTGACCTCCTGCCAGCGGGCTTTCGACACTTCACGTGGCCTCAAGGTGCACTTGGCCTGGCACAAGCATCGTGGTGACGTCACCGCCACTTAGTGGCGAATGGCGGTTGTTGTTGTTGTTGTTGCAGTGTGTTTGTGTGCAGTGTGTGTGTGTATGTGTGTGTGCAGTGTGTTTGTGTGCAGTGTGTGCAGTGTGTGTGTGTGAAGTGTGTGTGTGCAGTGTGTGTGTGTGCAGTGTGTGCAGTGTGTGTGTCCAGTGTGTGTGTGTGTGCAATGTGTGTGTTCAGTGTGTGTGTGTGCAGTGTGTGCAGTGTGTGTGTGCAGTGTGTGTGTGCAGTTTGTGTGTGTGCAGTGTGTGTGTGCAATGTGCGTGTACGTGGTTGTGTACGTGTCTCTGTGTGATGCACCTATGTGTGCGTGTGTGCGTCTGTTTATACGCCTGAATGTGCTTGCGCGTGTTTTTATGTTATGAGTCGGACGTATGTCAACACGTATGTAAATCTCAGTGCTCGTATGTGTTTGTTTTGTCAGTAATCGTGGATGTGTGTGTATGCCATTATGTCCGCCTGTATGTCAGTGTGTATGCATTTTAACGTGTGGGGAGCGGTGGCGCAGTGGTTAGCGCACTGCGCGACGAACCCAGTCACCCGAGTTCGATTCCCGCTCTCGGCCAACACCAGTGACGATTATCT